GATATTTGGAACATGAATAGTTAAAGAAGCCACTATCGCTGCTTCCCTGTTGCCGTTGGTGAAGGCGGCAGTGGTAGTGGCGCCGAAGGATTGGTCATCAACGGATAGGAGAAACAAACTGGGTTATCGCTGAGACAGGCAAACCTGGGAGCGACAACCGACCTAACGTGTATGTCACTTGGGCTGGTGCTCCGTTAGCCTATAGATATACATCAACATATATATGTGACATGATGGTTCAGGCCATGTTCAGCCATTAAGTCCACTCTCAATAGTCGACAGGCTTGGACAGGAAGCGCTCACAACACAAACTCTAACGCATCTGGGATTAGTATCACAGACTAAAAATCACGGCCGATGGCACAAACCGACCTTCCGTTGAAAAAGCTCCTTCTTAATGTGACAACTCTTCGACAAGAGCTTCAAAACCCATCACACTCAAGTGCTACGTGCAGGGTTGGGAAACAGGTCACATGAGGCAAGTACAGACAGGTAGTTTAGCATTCTCGATCGCATTGGATTCATCTTGCCATTGGGGCACGCCAAGTGCGGGATAAAAATGATCAAGGCAGATGCATTACCAGTCAGTATCACTATAAAAACATTGCAGCGTAAGTTACCATTGTGCATGCACCGCAGTGCGGTGGTAATTCTTCTAATGGCAGTCATAAATAGATAGAGGAATAATATGGAATTACGCTTTTGACGGGTTGCGTGGTGGCTGTGTCTGCGGCAACGGGCCCATTCGAGTTAACGCGGCCAGAGGTGGAGAGAACGCTCGAATTGTTGTTGTTGGGAGGGGTCGTTGTTCCCGAACCGGCACTGGGAGAGGCAGTAACAAAAGAGGAGACAAAACTGTGCCCGATTGAGATCCAAGTTCGCCAGAAGGAGAGCCAAATGTCTGCGACTGTTTGCGGACCGCTGCGAGCCTCTAAGCTGGCTGTATCGAAGCTCAACAGAATGCCCAGCGTCTGCAGGGCATTGTGAGCGATCTCCGCGTTTGGCATTTGGACAGCACGTTCGATGTTTGAGAGCAAAGCGTTCCAGGCCTCCGAAAAACGCTCTGTAGAGAGAGGCAATTTTAGATAGTAATCACGGAGAAAAGAGCATTAACTGAAATCAAGAGGCTGTTGTGGTTAGTGCATGAACAACAATAATATTATTTAACGTTGTACTATATTCATCCGTCGGTGTTACCTATGCTATATC